GGGAAAGAGATGCTACAGTGTGTTATAATATTAGCAGGTATTCTGCACCACTTCTTTCCATGGAATCCTAATAGGAAAATCCAAACTACTTTTTCCTGAAGTACACACCTTGTCTCACTGCCATGTCACCCTGCTTAAACACAAGACCATTCAAATCTCCAAATATCCTCCTCGCTAATACTACTGAGGTGATGTGCTTGATTTTTAGGCTAACAGGTGAGGGTCTCCACAATAAGAAAAGCTCCAAGCCAATATGTTGGTGGTGCCCTAGCAAATGCTCTGCCTTTGAGGTTGTCTTCATTCAGTCATGTCCTGTGAAGCCCTAGGTTTCTCAAAAATCTCTTCTGTACACTTTCAAAACACCACTTGTTTCAGAGGATAGCTGGATTTGGAAGAGACCCGAGATGTCTCTAGTCAAACCAGTGCTCAGGCAGGGTCAGCTCTGAGATCAGACCAGGTTATTCAGGGCTCTATTTGAGGCTGGAAAAACTCCAACAGTGGAGACTGATAAACCTCTCCTGGCACCTTTTCAGAGTGATGATAAAGTACAATACAGGCTGAGGAGATTCCTGGTACAGTTTTGTCCTGCAGACTCAAAGACACCCGTTTCACTTTCCAGCCTGGGAGAAGCGAAGGTCAGACAACTAGGACATACAGTCTTCTCCTCCTGGGGCTGCAAGGGAGCACACAGCATTCATTTCAAATATATTTTTCCTCTTTGCGTCACAGAAATAAAGCATGTGGCCAGTACAGGGCTGGGAATGCTCTGTGTGAGCTGGCAAAGACTGGTCTGCTGTGGATAATGGTCTTGGGAAATGGGAAAGAGATGTTCCTTTAGGATTACCCAATTGTTTTATATGTTGCATGTTGAGGAAATCTCCTGGAGAGTATATCTTCAGGATCAGAGAGTGAGACTTTGAACCTGGGGTTTGAGTATAATTAAGCTGATTGACAGAAAACGTTGGGTTTGGGAGAGGTGGGAGGAAGGCTCCTCCCTGAGAAAGACAATCTGGTGGCGTAACACATTAAAATGCGATTTCACGTGGCTGGGTGGTTGCTCACGTGGGCAACCAGCATGCTTCTTCAGCCCCAGAAGGGCCTGCTGCTAGGAGCTGCACTCCTGCTAGTAGGGCTTACCTCTCCAAAACAATAATGTGCCTTCACTGCCCCTCCCTAACCAATGCCTTAACTGAGGCTGTCTGGAGTTTGCAGCACCTGCAGCACTGAACCTCGAGTGTATTTGATAAGGAGTTGTGAGACCACAGAGACAGCAGCACTGATTCCTTTGCATAAATAATGCACCAGTACTTTGATTTAGAACTAGAGTCTGTGTCTCTGCTAATATTGGCTCCAATTTAAATAAATGGAGGCTGTGTGCCCTTTTCCTCTCCTGTGGATCTTTCGTGATCCCCCACAACTTAAAAATTAATGTTCTTAATGCCACGTCCAGACTTGGCAGTAGTTTGTCTGTATGCATCCCTCCTGCCAAATCTCCCTTGCAGATTTGATTACCTAAAGCATCATTCATTTCCTGGAGTAAACCTGCTCTGTTATCTGGTGCCATTCTAATACTACCCTGAACAGAAATGTAATTTGGTTGCGTATTCAGTGATCTCTATGTACTGCTTACATTTCTCTGGTGCCAAAAAAAACATCCTGCTGTCTGTGAAACATGCCATGTAAATCCATTGTCTTACGAGATGGAAAAGTATGGGTTATAAACCCACAAATAAATACAATCATGCAGTCTAACAGGATACCCTGTCTTAGACAAAATGCCAGAAATATTCATTATTGATATTTGTTATGGGCCAGAGTTTTCAATACTGCCTACTGGGCTTGGTGGAGTTATTGTCACAAAATTCAGCAAAGCCAGGGTTGGGTTTGGTAATTTCTGATAACTGTCTGTCAGTCCCAAACACACACCAGAACTGGGGGTTCACCTTTTGTCAGGAAGGTTTTAACATGCCCTATTTTGTCAGTCTTTGTGCATGGATATTGCAAAGAGATTCCTCTGTTTCAGTCAGTGAAATCTACTGTCTGTGCCTTTTTGCTCAAAAAAAAATAAACCGATGAGTGAAAAAAAAATAGGCACATTACATGACAACGTACTGCCCTCGGCTCACCCTGTCTCACACGTTTCCTTACTCAGGCTTTGCAAAGGCTCCTTCTTCAAGACAGCCATGCTCCAAAACCACCAACAGACCTCACTAACAGGTATGCTTGCTACCGATGGCAGCTCGGCCACACTGAGGCCCAGACATCTCCTTGCCAGAAGCAGCAGAGTTTGCTCCTGGGCAGCATGGTGTGCCTCAGGTCCTGGGCTTAGCCACACTCAGACACGCGGTGAAGTTCCAGGGGCCATGTGTCTACCACTGACAAGCTCTTGCCAGGTGCCTCTCTTCTCAGCTGGTCAGCTTTTGTGATTTTGGGCCTTTTTTGCTTCTTTTCAAATTGTTTTGCGAGCTGCACTTGAAAGGGTTCCACATCTCTCCTAGAGTACCACCAATAACAGCACATTTCCGAGTAACAAACTTCTCCCAGGATATTGCAAATAGGACAGAACTAATCTTGTCCTTCATATCCTCTTCAGCAAGCCCATGTGCAACACTGAGGCCACTGTCAGAGTGGTAGAAATGGCTTGTGCAAGGGCAGCTATAATATGTTCCCTGCAGCGTGCCACTGTTTTTATTTCAGCTATTGTCTACTTCCAAACTAATGCATAAAATTTCTCAGAGCCATAACACGCTACTTAATTTATGAAAATATTTACACACTGATTTAAGACATCTGGGTCCCATTTTCAAGACTGCCTTATGCAGGTAGTTTTCTGTGTCATATTTGCTTCTAACAGGTCCTAACCACAGAAAAGATGTCATAAAGCACCTGTATTCCTAAGGATGCATCTCTGAAATGTTTTATCTTTCCATGACCATCAACCATGTGAAACAAGAAACTCTCGGAATTATTTAATATTTGTCAGCAAAGAGAGGCTGAACTTCCATTTTTCTCGTTAGCAGATCATTGAAATATGTCTGCACACGGGGAACAGGATCAGCCTGCATTCTGCCCAGCTCTGTGGGGCAGGCTCTGTGCAATCAATCCAGAGAGGCGCAGACTATACAATGCAGACTAGGAGCGAAGGCAGAGACGGGACTAAAAATGAAGACAAATTGGGGACCCACCAAGCAAGGCAGAGAAGTGTGACTGTGCTGAGCTAAGCTATTACACGCTGGAATTGGCCAGCTCTGCGCACAGTGCGGCGGCTCTGCTTTCTCTTTCTAATTTGAGGCTGAATTTGCTGTGACGGAATAAACTCGGATCAGCCCAAACCATACTTGCAAGGCAGCTTTTCTCCTCACCGCTTGGCTCCCGTGGGCAGCTCCTGCCTTCCCTACCTTCCTGGCCCTGTGGCTGGCCAGCGCTCTCACAGAGCAGGCAGCCAGCTGCTCGCCGGGGAGAAACACCGTCAGGATAAATATTTGAGCACAGCAGCTAATCCCACGTGTCAGGACACATGCAAACTTCCACCAAGGCTCAGGCGGTTTTCAAAGGGTTCCCATTGTTAGTTATGGGCAAAAATAGTAAAGCAACTTCCCAAACTACTGGGCTATTTACACATGGAGCTTGTGTGCCAGCTGAAAAACATTCCTGATGGAAATTAAAATAAGGTCCCAGCCAAAGTCCTACCCAAACCTTCCTTGAGGGGAGGGCATGGGAGAGACACAGAAAAAGAGCTGTATTTTTCCCAAACCACCAGTTGGGATTTTTTTTTCATTTTCAGTACATATCTTATTAACCTTTTGAAAAAACAGCCCACCTAAATATTGGTGTCTTCCCACTGCTATCTTCAGATTTATTTTGGCACCAAGATGCCCAAAAGACAAACTTATCTCTTCAGTCTACAGGGAAAATGTATGATACTCTTCTGCTGACTGCTTGCCCAACTAAGAAGGATATTATCATCAACAGGCAAACCAGCAGCCAAAGTCCTCCCTCCACTCTTAAATCATAGACCAACCATCCAACATGCCAGACCACTGGAGGGAGGAATAAGTCAATACATTCACTCACAGCATAGGGTGTGCAGAAGGGAGTGAGCTGACTCCAGAACCATGCCATGGGAAACGGAAGGGACCAGGTGACCAGTCCAATCACCTTGTCCCACCATTCTGGGAGCTCCACTTGCTAAAAAGAGCCAAGGAACCCTTTCAATAGGCAGACCACCACATACAAATGGACAAGCCTCCCAACCCCATTACAAACTGAGTCAGCTCTTATAGAGGAGGCTTCTCACCCTGCCTCCAACTTAATGTGGAAGGCAGGGGCACCTGGTGGTGATCTCCTAATCAGTTCCCACCCAAGGCTGGCCAGACCCTGGGTGAAAACCAATCAGGAGGGTCCTGGCTGCAGGCATCATCCATATGCCAACTCTCATTCAGGGCTGGGGATTTAACCCCAGCAC